AGAAGGCAATAAACCCAAAAGAGTGTTGGACTAAAGGAGTAACATCTTTAAATTAGTTATTTTATTACTGAGAAAGTTAGACTATTGAAACTTTAAAGTAGACATGCCTTCTTCTGGCAAAGGGGCCTCCTACCTTTTCTGATATTCGCACTAGACCCTGTGCACATGTTTAGTTGGAAAACCTTTTCCTTTTTCTCTTAATGGTTAGTGGAAGCAGTCATTGTAACAAGACACGAACAAGAAACATTGTTTTATACTTTTATTCCTTTTCCAAGGGACTTCTGTGGGATCCTCTTTTTGGGTTCATTCATGTCCGTTTCGGTTATTGGGTGTGTGTATAAATGATATAGCCTTATTCCCCATCTTCAAGACCTATATATGTGTATACTTTATTCCAAAATTCATCATAATTAAAATATTCGACTTTTAGCAAAATTCCCTCACCACATAACTGCAAATTTTATCAATCACTTAAAGGCACAAGTCATGCATGTGTTGATGCCTTATTCTTCATTTCACTCATTTATGAGCTATATATGCGACTTACATTGTAACTAGTTCCAAAGAGAGTCATGTTCCCCGTATTCGACAAATTATATACTTGTGGGCATTCAGCATTCTCATTGAATCGTCATATATAATAGTGCATAAATGTTTTTTTATTTTCTATCTTTAACATTATTATTTTGTGAGTTATTCGCGTTACAATGAATCAATAGTTCATCAACACGTATGATAAGTAAAGTAGAGTGGGAAAATAATTACTTGAATGCACGTGATAGAGGTAGAATGGAACACCACCAATCACCAATCAGCAATCGACACATTCTCAAACACTGCTCGTGTAGTTGCATTCTGTATCAGAGGTATCAGGGTTTGTAACAGTTGGTATTATAACCAATAACCCATTAACACAAACTAGTGTCATTGCTTTGCTCCCCATTACAAGGGTATCAGGGAACAGATCACATGGAAACTCATGTGACACGAGAGTTTTGGCGTATACACAACTAGTGAAGCCCTCAACTAAGCCAATTCCCTAGCTTAATTAATTATTATTAAAAGTGTGAGCGTGGCAAAAAATATTATTTATAGAATATAGTAAGCTATTTGGTTGCAAATGAGAAAACCATGGCATTTGCAGCCATTTGTGGGCTCGACCCTCAAAACGGGGACCGATTCCCCAAATTAACCAACACAGGTGATGCTTAGGCATTTTCATTTTCCCTTAACACGAACCATACACGTGTACTCAAGGACCACTGCTAACCAGCTAAGGCTTCTGACAACTCAATTGTCAATGCCGATTGCTTCAGAAAGGTAAGCGGTTCCAATTCTCCATGAAAGTTATTATTATATTCTCACTAATTTTTTTACTATTTTTTAATGGAAAATGTTATATTTTCAATCTATTATTTTTGTTTATAACCTCTTACAATCATATTTTAACCGTTGATTTTTGTCAATCAACGGTTATTATTTATTGTGAATTAATAATTAATTAATTAATTTGATTTGAGAAAATTTTAACCGTTGATTGACGAAAATCAACGATTAAGATATCGTTGTAAGAGGTTGTAAACGAAAATAAGTTGTAAATATATCATTTCCCTTTTTTAATAGTTAAATTTAATATAGATGCTTATACAATAATTTAATAATTATTTATAGAATAGAGTTATATTGATAAAAAAAATTATAAACTTACACATTACATTATGTCTGACTAGTAACACTCTACTTAAGGGTATCTTACCGGTCAGATATCATATAGTTTGTCAACAAAAAATTTTGTAAATATAATATTCTCCTTATTTATATTGACAAAATTAAAACTTAACATGTACATTGATGAGTTTAATCATACATTGCATGTTCTGCCTACCTAAATATGAAAGGGACCGAGAGTCACAATTTTTTTTATGCATACAATTAGTTGTTATTCCAATAAAAACGGAGCTTATGTATTAGTTTCTTCCCTTTTCAATTACAAACTTTGTTTACTAAAAGCAATTTATTATATTAGTATTTTTTATGTTGTAGGAGATAATTTTATACCTTATAATATAAGAAACATCAATCTCACAATTCATATATAAGTTTATATAAATATAACACGTGACATAGCTCAACTTGTAAGATTAAACTATATCAATGAATAGATTTTATATTTAATTTTTTTGTTGATAGTCTTTTAATAACAAATTATCAAAAACTATGACTATCGATATATGTTGACTTCAAAACGGAAAAATTTCTTCTATTTTTCAACAAAACATATATTTTTGGAGTAGATTATTAAGAATTTTATTGAAAACGCAAACACAATTGGTGGAGAAATGCTGTTCCACATGTCCTACACGCCAATAATTGAAAAGTTGCAAAAACTTAATTTAATTTAGCCAAGACATCAATCATAGAGAGAAATCTAGTGGAGTCCATCTTTCCACGTCCGACGCAGGCTATGGGTTGTCAATAGATGGAGCAATGTTAATGTCTCTATTCCAAATATCTATGTTATTCTTCCCATCAAACATTACTTTTGAGTGGATTCCAACTCTTCTTTCAACCATATGGATTCCCTAACCCGATGTTGAGTTTCACTTTCACTAACCAAACCAAATGATTAACCAACCTTGTTTTTCTTTAAATTTAAAGACCTCCCTCCCTGCCCCATCTCATTTTTGCTTTTCACCCTGAAGGGGGTTACTTCATACTTAAGTACCCAAAGAGTTGTCCTTCTTTCTCTTTACTTTTTCTTTTACCAACTTTGCTTTCTGCATAACATGCAGAATCTAAACTATATATAATCTCAGCCTCATTACATTATGTGGTAGATTTTGGGTTATGTTTCTTGTTCAAAGAAACACGGGCATAGCTTTTTTGCATGTATATAATATGAGTTTTATTAGAGTTATGTTGTAGGAAAAGTGAATGTGTAATGTTATAGAGATTCGTTTTGCGTACTGTAATTTTTTTTTTTTCTTCAAAAAATGTGAGCCCCATAAAATATTGTGTGTGTAGGAAAGTTTATTGTGTCATGTTAAATGACAAATGCAAATCTCATATAATATACGTGGTCAATTCACATGATTTGTGATTACTTGAATCTTTTTATAGTAGTCGCGGCAATGTCTTATTATATATGGTACCAACTGCCAACTCACATTTCTACTTAAACAAAGCCGGCATTTGATTCATAAGAATGTGGGACACCAAAGTATAATGGAATTATACCAAACCTTTCCTTCAGAAAAGACTTGGCATCGGTAACTGTTACCAATTTGTAAAATGAAGCACCTTTTTCATACACGGGACACGAAATTTTGTTTCCTAATTTATCCCCCCAAACATCATGTGATTTTGAGACTTAATTATCTTGACAATTGGCTTCTATAAATAATTCAAAAATGCCTATTTACTCACATTCGATAACAGTGAAAGATATTTGATCTAGAATCAACGAAAGATTTGAATTCATTGGTGTAAATACCAAATCCAACCAAACTACCTAAACTCATTATTTAAATAGAAAGATTATATTTATAAATTTTATAAATTATATTATATACTCTTAAAAGTATATATTAAATTATATTATATATTATTGATAATACATAATATAATTTATTAAAATTTATAAAAAAAATTATAAACACATCATTTCTCTTATTTAAATATTCTCTTGCTTTACCAAATATTGATGTAGAATTAAACAGCTAATACGTAGTATACATACATGAAGTATTCAACTTTCTGACATTTCTGGTGCTTCTGTGTTTGGTTGGTCTGGTGCAGTAATGAGCCTATAATGCTATTTCCAGGACTCAAAGAAGCGTTTAGAAGAAATGTCAGTTCAGCATGACAGAGTGAAAGACATGATACGGACAAAGAAACATTGATTCAACCGTTGAATAATGACATAGCATTCCGTTTTTTAAGCACCAACATTGCCTAATCCACAATTGCAACTTTTGAGTCAGCTTCTGATACATTCATACAAGATAGAAAGCTTCTAATACAAGAATTTGGTTTGTTCATAGGATCAAACTTTTCCCAATATAAATTCGTGAACTTTTGTAGGAGTTAGAAGAAAATTATTTCCTTGTAAAAAGGGATTTACTCTCATTCTTCTTTTGATAATAATAGTCCAATATATCCTTTATTTTAATGAGGAATTAATTTTAAGAGCCATTCGAGAATAAGATAGTTAAAGAAGATTGTGTGTAAATACTCTAAGTTATCTACTAAAAAAAAAAACTTCTAATAGGTTGTTGACAATGGGCCATCTAGTTATCTGAACCTCCAAGTTTTTTATCAATAATCATCAATGTTGATGAGGATCTTATCTCCAAGTTAGGGATATATCATACTGATATTTGAAGTCTGTTTATCTTGCCGTTGCTAAAAGCTTCTGGTTAATTATGCATGTGTGTCTTCAGCACCATATATTAGTGACAAAAGATTAAATTTTGGTAAGTTGTCAAAAGATTAATATGGTCTAACCAAGACAAAAAAAATATCCTTGCAGAGAAGGAAACCAATAATTGAGATTTAATCGATAGAGTTTTGCTTCAATTTAGCCATACTCCCTTTCCCTTTTCTTAATTTTTTTTTTTTTATATTTTGTTTTTATTAAAGCAACGGATATGATTGATGTGAAATGACCTTACCCCTTTCACTTCATGTTCTAAAGGTGAAAAGACTATCACTTCATACGCTTATTCAGCATGTCACAATCCATTAACCAGTTTAGACCTTTTTCCATGTAGTGTTTCGTAGAGGACAGCAAAGTTTTTTTTGTAGCTCCCCAACAAATGGTATTTTCATTTTTCAATCTTCTTTTTTTATAATTAATTTTTAGGAGCTCGAAACTATATGTTAATTAACTTGGTAAAGACAAACATAACTAAATCACGATTTAGAAACTATACTTATCATAGCAGAGGTAATAAGGAAGAGCACATATTTAATCCATTCAGACTTGCATCTGAGGGATACATAAACTTTTCCCTTGTACTACGTACTACTTGGCTAATTACATGAATGTAGACGTCCTTCAAACTAAGAAAGACACTTTTGTCTTTCTATTTCCATACATATTTGTTCTTTCTTCTGACCTGAAGAAAGAATACAAAATGTCCTATATTCTACCAAAGCTGAACTTCATTTTTGTGGCACGGTAGGGTTGTACTTGTCATTTTATCTCTATTCATTTACACCCTGGAACGTGCTCGCAGGGATACACGTTTCCACTCCACCAAGCGTTGAAGAAAGTCCATAACCTGCATGAAATAAATAAATAAATAAATAATAATCAGTCATATTCAAGGCATAGGATACAATGGTCCAAAAATAGATGAAGTAAAAAAAAATTCCACTTGCCTCATTGGGTTCTTGTAAAGAGTAAGATGCACTTGTGTCTTTTGGAAATTTCGACACAAGAATGCCAAAACCTTGTCCCCTGTCTCTTAATTTCTGCATATTAAAAGACAGTTGAAATAACACTTTTACTTTTCAAAATTTCCAAAATAAGATAATTATCCTCCAAATTAATCGAAGAGGATTCTTTTAAAGAACTTGGAATTAAATAAAAAATAATTCAATTGAGATCTTTGGATACCTTGAACGCATCTTCATCGGATCGATCATCACCAATATAAACAGGAAAGACATCACTACAGTTGGCAAATCCTGTTAAAATTATTTATTAGTTAATATAAGTTAAGAATCTCATGTGTATAGAACAATCTTCAATGACTAAATTAATCACGTAGGGTATGGGAGTTTTCCATTTAATTATTTGTGATAGTCAAAATCTCTGAAAGAGTTATCCAACAACTGAAGAGCAGAGGCTCATACGTTACTTTATGCCATTAATACATGTTTCATACATATATTTAGCACATGTTCAATTGCGACAATAAAACGAGAAACCAAAACGTAAAGTATGAGTAAGGCTAAAACTCACCGAGTGACTCTAATAAAAATTCGAGGGCTTTCCCTTTGTCCCATTTAATTGTAGGACGGATCTCTAACACCTGTGTAAAACAAATAACATTGAAAGTGAGACACCTTCTCACTTCTGAATCCTCCTTTCAAACTAAATCAAATGCCCCACACACACACACACACACACACACAAATTGATTAAAAACAAGAAAACAGAACCATGGCCCACCTTTCTTCCTTGGGTAAGACGAAGCTTTGGGTAGTCTTTTAACACTGATTTCACTTGGCGTGCCAGTTCACTCCATTTCTATGTATAGTGTACATTTGGGGTTAGACTTTTTCATGAACATAGCAATAGACTAAGAGAATTTCAGACAACAACAAAACACTACAAGTAGTTACAAGCGAATGTCTCTCAAACATGGATGGCTTTATAGTTTGTACCTTTTCATCAACACAACGAAAATGAACAGAGACACAGAACTTGTTGTTCTCAACCTTGGCTCCAGGGGTTGATTTTGTCTTATCAACCAATTGTTGGTACACCTAAAAAATTTTACCCCAAAAAAAAAAATGTAAATTTATTTTTGAATGTTATAAAAACGAAAACCATTTGGCTTTCTAGGAAGGGGAAATAAACGAACCTCATCTATCATGGGAAGAAATTCACTGGCTGGTTGAAAAAGAACTGCCTCAGCTTTACTATACTACAGACCATAACCAATGAAAAATTAACGAGTTTTCAAAGAATTAGAAAAAAAAAAGTTAATATATATATATATACCATACAATAAATAAGCTGTACGTACACTACAGCTAGCTCACTCACTTTGTTTTTGGAGCTTCTTGTTGGCCCTTTAATATCCATGCCATGGCTTCCAGCATAATATAGCTCTGCCAACCGAACAAAATTGTATACCTATTGTCTCCAAAGCAACACCAAATTAGTACACACACAAAAAATATACATATATTTATATAAAAGGAAAGTGAAAGAAAGAGGGGAAGGACATAATAAGAGTACGAAAATCAACTCCAAATAATTGAATAACCAACTTCCGAATTAATAGTGTACCTTGTCTTTGCATCTGCCAGTCACAATAGCAGTAGGAAAACACCTTGCAAGTTTCCTCACTGTTTTTCTCATCTGATGGGGCAACAAATAGTTGATTTAGAACCCAATATAGATATGCATATACATATTTACATATGTTAGACAATGTTAAAAAACATAGCTAGCAAAAGACAGACACAAACCGAATCAGACATGAAAGCACGGTCAGGGTCTTCAACTATAGGGGACAGCGTTCCATCATAGTCCAGAAACATGACAATTTGCTTTCCCTTTGATGCATCCACAATTTGGTCAAACATGTCTAATGCTGACGGGTGGTGAAGCTGTTTGATTATGAAATACACATAATGAGATCCACTATTATTGGAATATGTTAAAAAAAGAGTACTGTGTGTATTAATTAAGGAAGTATATCATATATGTGTGTCTAAGAGTGGTTCTCACAATCCAAGAGCTTTGCTCTTCAGCTAAAGAAGGTGTTGATTTAAGATGGGTTGGAGAAGAGGCTCTCATGGACTCAACCCATGCGTTAATTCTTTGTCCTCCATTGATTTCAAGGTTCTTGAAAATCCTCCTCCTTGAAATGGAAATGTACCCACCTTGTGCTGCTGGTGGCTTTTGTGCTGTTGGTGGGAAAACAGACACGGCAACCCCAGATTTGGTGTCAGACACTACCACATTCTGCTGCGTCATCTCACTGCAAAAAAACAAGCCCAACTCATGCATGTTTTCAAGGTATGTTTTTTTTTTTTTTTTGTTGAAAAAAAAAAACAAGTTCTCAAATGGACATATTATTATTATATAGCTTACACTTCAAAGGAAGTAATAACTAACTCCAACTGTGTGTGCTATTTATAGCAGAGCAAAGAAAAATGAAGAAAAAGGTGACAGCTTTGTTAGCAGATGCATACAAAGGAAGAGAAGGAATGTTATGAAGAATGAAGAGAAGAGTTAGAGAAGGAGAAGTCAGAGAGTGAGAGAGAGTGAGGGAGGAGACAGAGCCCCTTCACTTCGATTTATAGTTAGAAAAACAGAAACTCCAAAACTCTAAGGTGGGACCCATTCCACCATTGGAAAAGAAGGAGGCCCCACACCTTGCCCAACCCCCGGTATCCTTCAGGTCCCCACCATAGTCCATATGCCACGCCATCACTCCCTCTCTTTTTTATTAACAATGATGACCGTAAAAACATATATAGGGGAATAGGTTTTCCGTTTTTGATAAAATTGTCACGTACAGTACATAAAAAATTAAATTAAATTTATTTAGAAAAAAATAACAAAAATTGATTTCACTTGTTTTTTTTATGTATGCATTTAGATAAAAATATCTCATGTTATATAATAAATATATTTTAAAAAATTATATGAATATCAAGTTAATGTATCGTGTTTGTATGAATATATATAGGTAGCTGTAGTCTTTCAATACTTTTTTTTTTTTTTTTTGAAAATGTAGTCTTTTAATTTTTGGAACAATAGTGCTCGTGCACGTCATTACACGTGGTGAAGTGATAGAAAGCATCTATGTGTACAAAATTTAGAGTGATTTTGGATGGACTTATAAAAAAAACTATTATTTTAAAAGTGTTTTTTATAAAAGTTATAACTATTTTGATTTTTAAAAAAATATTTATTTTTGAAAAATAATTGACTTTGAATTTTACTTTTTTGAAAAGTTAAAATTTTTAGTTTCTGAAAAAAAAAATAAGTTTTTAGCTTTTTTATGACTTTTACTTTTTTTAAAATTAGGCATCCAAATACACTTTATAATAGAAGTGCTTTTTTTTCGAAAAAATGACTGAAAAAAAACTATCTAAACAGGTCTTTAGTAAATCCAATTTAAAATTAAATGACAAATGATAAAATAATTGTACACATTTGATCTGTTGTGTACATAAGTATGAATGAGTAACATTTTTTTAATTATAGTTCTGAGAGGATATAATCCGATTCGGTTTTGCATGTGAACCGATAAAGCAAGTTGATTTACTGAATTGCTTTAGAAAAAAAAAATGTATTCTTAAATCGGTTATACCAAACTCAATTGGTCAAACCATTGAATTCAAAAAAAAAAAAATTCGATCCAATTTAAAAAAATTTAATTTTTAAATCAATTCAAAATGATCATTTAATATCGGTATTAAAAAAATTTTAGTCCACTATCAAAATATCCTACATCAATCAAAATATATGATTATTTATGATACAATTCAGTTCATTCATAATTTAATTCGGCTAATATTACTTTTTGCGCACACCCCTAAGTATACTTCAATTATTACAAAATCATCCATTTTTGGTGAGTTTGTTTTAAACATTTACCTTATTTTCTCATGCGATATGATACCATATAAAATAATTTTAATTATTTATAAATTAATTAATTATCCTAACAGCAATTTAGACAAAGAGTACAAAAAAAACATTTATTTAAAAATATAACCATTGCTTACCAATATATATATATATATATGAAAAATATTTTTTCAGCAACTTGAGATAAATTATCTCCGACTACCTTAAAACTACGTCGTTTTATTTGTTTATATTAATTGATTCACCTTTGAATGGTTATGATTCCCTTTTTTTTTCTCTTCCTTCCTTACCGTTGATCCATCTTTGTACGGTTATAATTTATTAGTCGGAGATAAAATTATCTCTGGCAGCTTGAGAAACGATAAGCCTATATATATATATATATATATATATAACCATTTATTTATTTGAAATGATAAGGCCTATTGAATTGAAATTATAGTCCCTCACAAATTCAAAAAATACTCACATTAGTCCCTCAACAAGACAAAAATGGGTCAATTTTGAATTTCTTAGGGACCACAAATAGCCTTTTTTTGTTAGGGACTAAAGCGGGTATCGTGAAATTTGTTGAGGACTGAAAATGATATTTACTCAAAAACAAAATATTCAAAGTCACTTGTAGTACAGTTATATCTTACGCATTTTACTATTAGGTGGTGTAAATATAAATTCAACTAAAAGGATTTTAATTTATTAATTAAAATTAATAATTTTTTTATTTGAGTTTTTTTTAGCTTTTTTAGTTGTAAAGTATTAGTTAAATTATTATAGTTATTTTGGGAAAAAATATTTATCCTTTTAAAGGATAAAATATGATGTCATTTTAAATAAATGACTGTATTTTATGGTGAGAGAAATTTATCACACAATGAAATATCATCCTAGAGAGAGTGAGAAGTTATCATTGAATTTTTTAAAATATTAAATAACACACTGTAATAAAATGACACATTATTTTGTTACACTTTTCCCTTTTCCTTGATGTTGCTTTTCAATTTCAAAAATAGCTAATTTATTTAATCTTTCTTGAGACGTTGTTGATCTTAGATAAGAGTTATTACTTATTATCATCAGCTCCTTTTTGATATTGTATTACAGTTTTAATTTTTATCTTTTTCCTGTTTTAAATAACCAAATTCATATTTTTTTAGTTGGAATATTGACATTCTAACTTAGTGATCACATGACTTTTTTTTCTCCCCTTTTAATTTTTTCCTTTTTCTTTATTTAATTATTCTGATAATAATAAAATTTCAAATTTATTTTGTTCCTACAAATTATATAAATAATAATATTGTCAAATATCAAGACCTAAAATTTTGGGAAGCCTCAACCCTAGCCTTACTCGAATCCTGAATTACTTTTAGTATTATTAATTAATGGGATTTTGTTTGGGCTCTATCGGCCCTTCAATATTAATTGAATTGTGTTAAAATTTATTTGATTTTCTAAAAAAACAAGTGATAATATAATATGAAAAAATTGTACCTTATTAAATTGTTCAAATAGTATAATTAAAGAAAAAATTAATTAAAGAATAAAATTAATTTCTAAATTTTTTATTCATTAAAGTTCCAAAGCTTTTTCCACAATTAATACGGTACCAAAAAAAAAAGACCAACCGTCCCTATTCATTATAAAACCAATTTTTAGTTGTAAACAATGATCATCAAATCGCTATCCACAAAAAAAATTGTGATATGACTCAACCGATTGTTTTTCATTGTACGAATAAAACGCAAGCACATTATGTTACGCAGTTCCATTTATATATATAGCTAGAAATGGGATGAAGCCCATGGAAAACGCTATGCCGTGCAAAACAAGTAGCTAGCTCGCCCCTAAAAGCTAAAACCAACCGTACAGTGAACAAAACCAGCCACTGCATGTGCCTTTTACTGATTCTTTAGGTCTTTCCACCAAACTCATAGTCACATGCATGCTCTTCAATAAAGAAGACAAATATGTATTTCTTTCTCCTTTGCACCAATTATTGCTTTGTAGTCTTATATATATATATATGCAAGCATATACAAAAGGAAAGACCTCGACTTTACAAAATATGAAACATAAATAAAAATGTTTTTTTAAGCTCTATTTCGATGCGTCAATTTGGTATAATATTTTATTGTTTTTAGATTTTTATTCGCACAGTTAAATAATTTGAAAGTTGGAAATACTTTTATTAATTCAGTTAGCACGTACAGGGGATGGACGAAAAAAGAAGCATATTATTACTTGTAAAAGGGCAAACCCTATTGTACAAATTTCTTTGGTTTATTCAAGGTAGAGAGGACTTGCCCCAATATTTGTGCTTATATTATTTGGTAATTAATATTTTAACATGCTTTCAAATTTGCGCTGCCTTATTATGTAGACACGCGGAATTTGAATACATTTAAGAGTTGAATATAAAAAAAGAGAATTTTACATTGAAAAAGAAGTAGAAGAAGAGAATTTTAGGTGAAGCAATTTAGGGCACATGCAATGACAAAAACTTTCACACTCTAGGTTACGAAGGGATTAGTCTCATCTAAATAAATAGAGACACATCTGAAAAATCAAAATCAAAAAATAATAATCAAGGAATCAAGTATATTTAGGTGTGAAAATTTTCTTGCAAGCGATTTTCAAAGCATATATTTTCAGTCTCGCCCGAAGTCTTTTAGCTTGTGGCTTTTGCTTGTGTGACATCCCATATCTTGCCATCTTCTATCTTTCATTAATTACATAGTTTTAAAAAATGGAGCCACATGGTGGGAGCTGAATTTTGATCGTCAGGTAGTAATGAAAATAAAGTTTACGAATACGTGTCAATGAATCAAGAAGGATCTGTACAGTGGCCTTTAAATTTGACAGCATCCTCTTGGCTTATAGTACTTGTCATGGATTATGGCATTATTGAAGATTTGGGTTTTTGGATGTCTGGAAATGGGAATGGGATAGTCATTGGACACCGTCATTGAAATATATATAGAATGCTATAATTATTCTTTTTAAAATAATTATAGGGGAAAGTGCATGGAGAGATTTCATTTTTATTTTAGTTTGTTTGTGTTAACCAGAGTGGGTGTGTGATTGTTTGCCATATCATTTGTGAAGGATTTAGGTAAATCTCTATGTCAGATATAACATTAAAAAAATTTATTAGTATATGAACTGTACTTTTTTATTAAATGCTTGTTATTAAGGATCTTAAACTAATTAATAAAAACGTTTTATGAAAATTGGAAAAAACAATTCAAGGTCTTGAAAACAATTTTTTTAAAATGCTGTTAATTAAGAAATTAAAAAGAAAACATTAAATAAAATAAAATAAGTAAAAATTTAAAATAAAAATATCAATTATTTCTCAAGTAGTGTTTTTATTTTTTATTTTAATTGAGATCATTAACGAAAAAAAGATACGTGCATGTATGCTTGATATAAACTAGAATCGCCCTAATTAATAGTGATAATAAGTTAAAGCTTTTATTGATTAAGTAGAAAATTAGGCGGATCCTTTTATTTTTAAAATCTAAATTTCTATAATTTTTCATGTTATATAAGTCATACAGTCAATGAAAGAGGAAAATGTTTGTATCCGTGAGCATACAACAACGTTACC